TGACGCATTTATGCGCAAAATATATATATCGGTCCGTTTAACTATACAGTGGAAGTTTTATGTTTAGTTTCTTAATAATTTTTAGACTTTCCTTTAATTTTCCAATTTTTTTATTTGTTCATTTATTTTTTACTTTTTTCATAATTAATTTTTTTAATAATTAACTTTTTTGTTGTTGAAGAAATCGTGCAGTGAAAAGTAATATACTGTTCGTAATTCCTCAATTGGTGTGGTTTACGAGATGACATTGGAGGCCAACAGGTCCAGCGAGTAGTTCGAGGTGAAATGAATGAAAAATTAAGATAAAAACTGCTGCGGATTCTCTATAACGAGAGAAAAAAGATCAAAAAGGATTAGTACTAGGAAAAACGAATACTCCCATAAATGGAACCAAACAGAGTGAATATAGTAAAATTGAATTACAAATTGTGACTAGGAATAAAAAATCACTAATAGCCTTACCTATGGGTTAGTTCGGTGAAAGAATTCTGTGAACCTCTTGAGCCAGTGAACACGTCGACCAGCACGTGTGACAGGGGTCTTACTGGTGACGGTAGGAGAATCATCGTTCGTCACTGGGGTTGAGGTAGTTGGGTCTGGGGAAGGACTAGGTTCAGTGGGGCTATTCGATTGAGCCGACGGGGAGGGTGAAGGTTCTTCAGTGCATGCCGCTTTAAGTCTGTCTATGCTTACAGTGTCTGGGTGGCCGCATCGCTCAATAACGAAAAATTTATCTTTACGACTAAGGACCTTAAAAGGCCCGTCATATGGTGGTTGCAAGGGCTTTCGTACAGCGTCGTGACGCACGAAAACATGCGTACAGTCATCAAGTCGCCGATCAACATGAATCTTTCGGTTCTGAGTGCGTGTGGAAACGGGTCGGATTCGCTGCATAAAACTTTTAAGGCTCTGAGCGTAACAGGTGGTATCAGGGAAATTTGGTTCGAGAGCTTCAGGAGCGATTAGCTCACCTGGTAAACGTAGGGTGGTACTGTACACCAATTCGGCTGGCGAGCACTGCAGATCCCCTTTTAGCGTAGCACGGATGCTGAGCAGGACCAATGGCATCGAATCTGTCCGCCTACTGTTGTCTACTGCCATCAACGCGGCTTTCAGTTGACGGTGGAAACGTTCTACTGGCCCATTACCGCAAGATGATACGCGGTTGTTCGAATGCGTTTGCATCCCAGCATCTCTAACAATTTCTTGAAGCTTGTGGATTCGAATTGTTACCCGCGATCGGTAGTGACAGTGGCGGGACATCCAAAATGGGCAACCCAGCCTTCCATGAAGGCACGGCAGATGGTTTGAGCCGTTACATCTGGTATCGGAATGGCTTCCGGCCAACGTGTGAAACGATCCACACATGTGAGTAAATACGAGCAGCCGTTTGACGGGGGCAGGGGCCCTACTATATCCAGGTGTATATGATGGAACCGAGCGTCTGGGGTCGCAAACGTCCCCAACGGCGTGATGTTATGCTTGGTGACTTTAGCACGTTGGCATTGCACACAAGTACGTGTCCATTGACGCACATCACGGTTCATACCGGGCCACGCAAATCTCGCCGATATCAACTTGTCCGTTGCTCGTATGCCAGGATGGGAGAGGTTGTGGAGGGACTCAAACACGGTGCGGCGTAAAGACGTGGGAACAATCGGTCGAGGAGTGCCCGTTGACATATCGCAAAGTATAGTTGTTTCACTGTTTAGCAAGGGGACACGTTCTATCTTCAGTGAGGTTTTATTTGACAGGTGTTCTAAGTTCAAATCCTTCAGTTGGAGTTCGGCCATTTTATGAAGATCGATGGTTGGTGGTACCGACGTAGCACATACGCGAGACAAAGCGTCTGCTACCGGGTTATCAGCTCCAGAAACGTGCTGGATATCGGAAGTGAACTGTGAAATATAGTCTAAATGGCGTGATTCTCGTGGTGAATACCGGTCTGAAGTAGTGTGGAGGGCGTACGTCAATGGCTTATGGTCGGTGAATACAGTAAATTGTCGGCCTTCCACGAAGTGACGAAAGTGTTTGACAGCAGCATAAACAGCGAGAAGTTCCCTACCGAAGGTGCTGTATCTAGATTCGCATGCAGTAAGTTTACGGGAAAAGAAAGCAATCGGTAGCCATGCATTGGACATACGCTGTTGTAGGACAGCTCCGATCGCAGTGTTAGAGGCATCTACTGAAATGCTGATTGGTAGTTGGACATCTAGATGGACTAACATTGTGGTATCAGCAATAGCTTTCTTGATAGTTGCGAAAGCTGTCAAGGCTTCCTTAGTGAACACCAAAGACTTGCATTTCCCTTTAAGCATATCAGTCAAGGGGGTCAAGATGTGGGCGCACTGGGGAATAAAGCGACGGTAGTAACTAACCATCCCGAGAAAAGTGCGTAGTGCCTTGGGAGAAGTGGGTAGAGGGAAGTTTTGAATAGCCTCTACCCGCTCAGATAACGGATAAATTCCATCCTTGTCTATCCTATGTCCCAAAAAATTCAAGGAAGTGACTCCAATCTGACACTTCGGCAAGTTGAGTGTGAGGGAGTGTGTCATAAGTCTTTGGAAAACTGTCTGCAAATGAAGTTGATGTGTTGCCTCATCTGGACTAGCTACCAAAATATCGTCCAGGTAGGCAAAGGCGAAATCGAGCCCGCGCAAAACGTCGTGGATAAACCGCTGGAAGGTTTGGGCAGCGTTCCGTAGGCCGAAAGGCATTCGAAGAAATTCGAACAGGCCAAACGGCGTAATCACAGCAGTCTTAGGTATATCCTCGGGGTCAACGGGAATCTGGTAGTAAGCCCGTGTTAGGTCCAGCTTGCTAAATACTCTAGCTCCCTTGAGTGACGATGTTAAATCGTGTATGCGAGGGACAGGGTAGCGATCGGGAACAGTTTGTGCGTTTAGCCTGCGGTAATCACAAGGACGCCAATCTAAACCGTTATTCTTAGGTACCAGGTGCAACGGTGAGGACCACGGGCTGCTGGATGGCCTAATAATCCCCATTTCTAGCATATGCTCGAACTCCGCTTTAACAACCTTCAGTTTTTCTGGGGATAGTCGCCTCGGTTTTGCGAAAACTGGCGGACCAGTCGTGACAATATGGTGTGTGACGTTGGAAGTCGCACATGGCAGGCCGCTGCTAGGTTTGAACAAATCCGAAAAAGATTGCAGTATATGCGAATATGGACCAGTATTAGTGGGTGTGGCATATACAGGGCTGAGGGCTGGGCACTTGGTGGCGATACCGTTAACTGAGAGGTTTGTGGCTGAATCTGTCAACCCATGTTTACCAGTGTCTACCAGTAGTTGGTAATGCTGTAGCAGATTCATACCGATGATACCTGTGGTCACGTCCGCTACTAGAAAGACCCAGCGGAATGCGCGGCGCAAGCCGATATTCAGGTCAAGAAAGCGCCTGCCAAACGTAGCTATCGGCGAACCATTTGCGGCACGTAGTTGTAAGGACATTGGCCGCCTGCGCTCCTCTATTGTGGGTGGGATGACACTGACCTCTGCTCCGGTATCAATGAAGAAGCGTATCCCCGTGTTACGTTCTGTGGCATGGAAGAGGCGACATGGGAGTGGTTCGCGAGCAACGTTAGTCGCCCACACGTGCTGGCCTGCTAGTTTCCCCACTTTTGGACATCGAAGGTGCACGGGCGAGTGCACTTTCGGGCCTTTTCACCATAACGCCGATGATACCAGCACACTCCAGGCTGGGAGTTTCGAGACCTACGGTGCCGACTGCTGGCACGTGACGATGATCTACTACGAGTTGAGTCTGTGCGACTACCCGAGCGGCTTCTTGCTCTCATCTCCTGCCTGATATCTCTTCGTACAGCTTGGTTATGTGGGCCACCGCATCGAAGCTGGATGACTTCCCAGCCGGAGATTCTTTGATCTGAGCGGGCCTATCAGTGGCCGTGGGCGAAATGCTCGGGTTGGATGCAGTAGCCTCTACTACCCTATCGGCTGCTTCGGCTAATTCGGGTGAGGGGGATTTGTAGATTGGGGCTAAAATGCCCTGAATCGCCTGTGGTAATCTTTGTAACCACAGTTGTTTTAGGAAGGTATCGTCTAACTTGAAGTCGGCGACCAACTGTCTCATCTGTCGTAACAATTGGGTGGGCTTCTGGTCTCCAAGGTGAACATCGCGAAAGAGTTCCTGCACTTTCTGTTGGTCTGTGAGCGCCCCGCACTTAATTAACGCCTGCTTGAGCCGCTCATACAAGTCGGGGGACGGATCCTCGAGGACGTCTGACACCTCCTCCATGACATTCTCAGGCAGACTCACAATTGCCAAGTTTACCTTCGTTTCTTGTGAGTGTATATGTTTGAGCGCGAACAAAGCTTCTACGTGGTTGAACCGTGCGACAGGACGAGGTGTCCATAAGGTTGGGAGTTGCAAAGTTATAGCCATTTGTGAAGCATTGTTCTCAGCCATTATACGGACAGAACGATATACTATCGGAGTGATACGACAAATACACGTGAAAACAAGACCAGTAAAAATTTATAACTCTATGTGAAAAATATATATAAAAAAGTAGTCAATATGAAAAAGAACTAAAAACACGTCAAGCTAAAATGGAGACAAACGATGAATATGCGGGCTCACCACTTGTAAGAGCTATTACGGCTTAGGGTAGACCTCAATTCTAAACACTCTTACAAAACTTCTTCACCGTTTTATGACCTTAGCTGTACTCTGCTTAACGTGCAGAGTAACGTGACGAACCGAACTAAGGTAAAAAGACTTGATATGACAAGTGTATCTGAGACTGTTATATTTTACACAAACGAAATATGAAATTTGATAAATAAAGAGGTTGTACAACTTATCTGCTGACGTCACTGGAGGTAGGCTCGGAGAGTGTGTAGAATGAAAGCACAACGAGAGAGAGAACCAATGAAAGTACGGAAGAGTCACAACTCAAAAGATAAGAGTGTGCCAAACGATGGGTGTGCGATTTTAAACAAAAGTTCATGGGTACAATATGCACCACAACTTATTAACATACTATGTTTAAGCACCAATGAGTAATGTTTTCCAAGATAGTTAAATATTATACAGACTCCGGTTCATTAATTATTCCTCTTAAAAATTATGAAGTTTCAGTTGCGAAATGAAACTGTAATTCTTTTATATGAGTATGCACTGAAGGCAAAAGAATAGAATACACAACAACAAAATTTCTTCAAGTGTACTAAATCGCTTGGATGATCACTTGCAACGAACCCTTGTATCCATCTCTTATGAATACTTAACTTCTCTCCTTTAAATAGCTGGGAAAAAATTTAATTGTAATTTTGTTTAACTGTACCGTCTAGCGAGTGACCTCTGTGGGCACTTGTTACAAAATATTTTTTCTATGTTTGTTATTTCCGTGTTTTCCATCTTTTTCTCCATTATTTTCCATGCTGCAGTGGATAAGGTCGCAAAAAATGTGAACCCTTTATCTCATGAACTGTCCGAAATTAAAGATTCAAAACCGAAGTATGTTCTTAGGCAGAACTTTGTTTGGCAAAACTCATGCATATCATTTGTGCACGCGTTGGTATCCGGTGTTTGGTCTTTGTCAGCGTACGTTGCGCATAATAATCTTCGATCAACTTCAGGTTTTACTTCGAGCCGGACTCCCTGACAGACTTGATTAATGAATTCTCAGGATATACTCTCTCACTAGTATCCTATTCTCTTGGTAATAAATCTTTTACAACAATGATGTTTAGGTTATTTCATTTTTGACTCAGTACATATGGCTGCCTTACATCCCCATCGTTCAACAGCGGAGTTACTAATCCACCACTTCATTGTAAGTACATGGATGTAATGGGATTGTTTCTAGATATTTTTGTGCTTCTCATCTGCTTTATTGTCAGGAAAGTACATCGGATACGCAGTTGTTTCACTTCTTCCTGAAGTTAACTCAATCTTTCTCCATTTGCGACGACTAATGAATTATCTGCGTGTCCCTAAAGACAACCACTTCTTCAGATCTATTTGTCTATTGAATATTGGTAAGCTCGCATTTTTAAGATCATGTATGTTTTTATCCCAGATTTTTGTAGGATAATGTTCAAGTTTTGGTCTATGTTTGTTCCAACAAAGTCGTTAGGTTTTGGATCTTATTCTATTTACCAACGTAATTAAGAATAGATTAGAAAAACACAGATACTGTTAGAAATGTATTAGCAACTATTAGCAACCACAGCGAAATGATGCTCAGTTGGCCAGTCACATCTTTTACCCTTCGTAGTGAACTTACGTATTCAGGTTCCCTTATCCTGTCAGAAAAACACCTATAAGGAACTGGGATATATTTTACCACCCAACAGACTTTTGCTGTGACTTATTCTTCGGAGATAGTCACAGGTGTAATAGGACTGGAAGTAATAATTTGGGGTTTGGAAGTGGTATCAGATTTGATATAGCTAGTATTGTAGCAGAATAAAATAATGGTAGAACAGTAAAGTTTATCCCAAGAACGAAGATTAGAATATTATGAAAGTGGAAGAGGCTAGGAACCTGACTTACGGATCATGAGAGGACAGAATAATTAACAGTGGTAAGCAAATAAAACAGATTACTAAGACAACGAAATGTGAACCACAGAATTATTTTGAACGCATAGGTTGGTTTTCAGTTGACGTACTTCCAAATAACGCAGCTATCTACTATTACTCTATCCGTTTACCATGTGATAAACTGTTGTAGAATCGCTTACATGACCTGTATCAGAGATGTGTTTACCACTATCGCTATTACGTATTCTTACACCTCCTGGTTACAAACTTTCCGTCATATCTTTATATATCTTTTCGTAAAAGCATACTGTGTTCTTCCCACATTCCCTTTACTATAAATACATTTGGATAAATTCATTTGACTGAAGATAACATGAAGGTATCCCAGACCCCTGAAAGTGTTTCTCTGGTTATAGACTCCTGTTTAAGTAGTAGCATTCAAAAGTGGTGAGATGATTTCGCAAAATTATCATCGACTGCGTGTATTTGCCTCATTAACCTTTTGTTTTGCAAAATTACACTAGTTTGCATTTTGGTAGTACTTTAATTTCCCTGAAGTTATCTTGAATATATTTTATTCACTAAAATCGTCTTAAACAGGTTGTAATTAACAAACAGGTTGAACATTTTGCTGCAGTTAAAAATTGGTTTAAAACAGACTTAAAGGTAATTATTAATTTATTCTATAATTGCAAATAAGTATCGCATGTATCTGCAGAACTAGGGAACTAAAGTCTCTTACAGCTGTAAAATACTTGATACTATGACTTATGGATGGGTTTTATATCCTCTTAGTGTTAGTAACAGTGCATGGTATGACAACACGCTCTATCACATCACTCCTGCCTGCTTATCTTTAAGCTAGGAGGCAGTGTAGTCCAGTCCTGTAGCACCCCCTTATTTTTGACAGGAGAGAATCGCATGTCAAACACTCGAGGATCGCTGCTCAAGGTGTTCAGCGTCTTTACTTAGGAGGACAATATCATCCGCATATTTTAAGTCAATCAAACTATTCCGTGGTAACAAGTCTATCCCTGAGCCGCTGAGCTAATTCCATTACCACATCTATGATGAGACTAATGAGAAATCGCGACAGTGGACATCCCTGATGGACATCACTGGTCGGTTGTCATTACTTTAGATGACAACTTTCCGTAGGCTCTTACCCAGATGCGTGAGTTTGAGTGGAGTACCTTGATCAGTGCGATGTATCTTCTCGGCATTCCCTTTATGGCTAGACATTACCATAGTACCTGTTGGTCGATGGAATGGGATTCCACTTTCAGGTCAAAATATATGGCAGCTGTTGGATACCGATAATTATGCCTTTGTTGGAAAATCTGTCGAAGGATGAAGATATGATCAATACAGCCTGTCCCTGGTCTAAAGCCTGCCTGATTTTCTCGTGTCTGTTTCTCACGAGCGCCACTTAATTTACGTATGATTATTGAGCCTATGACTTTAAACATTATAATAGTTGATCTAATCCCTCTATGACTATTATAATCCCTTCTTATATATCTGGATAATCAGTAACTTAAATTAATCCAACTGGGTTATCTCTGCACCCCGGACGTTGCTTAATACGTTAGTTAACGCAGTTACCGGCCCTCCTTCCCGCCGGTAATTTATATTCCATTCAAGTAGGTGTCTGATGGTAGGCAGGCTGAGCGTGGCTGTAGGCCAATTAAGTTGCCCCCCAAATATTCCTTCCAACTTTCCAGTCGTTAACCCTGAGAGCTGGATAGGGCTTCATTTTTCTCTCAGATTGTCTCACTTATCATTTGTCTTTTACCACCTGTATCTCTGATAAGCCTAAATAGTTTTCTGGTGTTACTTACCGCCAATGCGTTTTCCATTTTCTTCCACTTCTGTTGCTCACCACTGTTCACGGTCATTGCGAAGACTTTTTGTCACTTGCGTTTGAACGGTTTTTGCTCTTCATTGTATGCAGAGCCTGCTGAACTCAATCTTCTTGCGTCCGTCAGATAGGACAAAGTGTTGAAAATCTCCTGGCTTTTACTAACCTTGGTTTTTGTTGGTTGACAGCCTTTTCAGTTATGTTTGCAGCTGAATAGATATTCTGTCAGGCTTCTTCAGGATGAGTCTTGTTGTTGATCTCAGGTACGCATTTAGCTATTTCTTCCTTAAATAGGGACTCAGTATCCTGATCAAGTTGGGTGAGTAGCAGATTCATTGCTGACTGTTTTTTTATGTCCATTCAATCTTATGCGTAAACGTGCGCGGATCAGGGGAAGAGGTTATGCGATTGTAAGTGAATGTGTGACAAGCGAAATCAATCTATGTTTATCAAAAAAAATCAGTTAAATCGAATTATAATGTCTGTATGATGTTTATCTAACTAAAAGCCGAGTCAATAGTATTTCAACACCGATCCTGAGGACAGTGTTGCGTTAGCAGGTTTTCTTACTCAATACCTTGGTTTATCGCTATAGTTCTACTAGCGAACATATTATTTTTTGTAATACCATCTTTTATTCCATCTCGGACTATCAGAAGAAGTTTTCGTTTACCTAAAACTGAAACGTCATTATCAGCCGACCGGAGATATCTTATCTTCTCAACTACTTTTAAAATACATGGTAGTTTCGATAGATAGTAGGGAGTAGGAGATGCAACATCTTTTATCCATATCCACTAGTGTCCATCTGCCTTTTTTCTATAGTATCGCTTTTGCACCCCCCTTACACTGGCATGGTGTTTAATTGATTTTTGATTATAGCTTGAAACCACATAGTATTTTTGGTACAAGTATGGAATTTTCAGCATATGATATCGGTAGCCCAAATTTTGCAGGCCAACCGTAGATATCAGGTGTGCGTCGGCAGGGGCTCGAACCCCGGACCATGTGCATGGTCGGCGAGAGTCCTAACCTCTGTGCCACCGACGCAGATTGCATTTCTGCTACTTTTTAAAAATTTGTATACCTAACCAGTTCTATACTTGTACCAAAAATACGGTGTGGAATCAAGCTTTAATAAAAACAAAGTTAAGTCTCCATCTTTTTTATAATGGTTTCAAAGCTTCTTCTATTCTTCTTAAGAAATGTATTCATGCGAATGAAAAAGTGAAGCCTAATTCACCAACCATTTGTTTATTCAAAACATTAGTAAGTGTGCAGCCGCCGTTGGCCACCACCGCTTCACTGTATGCATGTTTAAATAGTCTTGTAGTCAAGGCACAAAAATGTTAGACAATAAGTGTAAGCTATATGTGTCCAAACTAAGTTCACTTTCAACATTTTGAAAAATTTGGGCATTGGATATATAATATTATAATAAAGGGTTTTGTATTTCTCAATGAATGAAAAACAAAACGACATGGTTGTTTTCAATGACATATCGCTATTTAATGGTGCTGCTAATACCTTTATCAAAGTATCATTAAACTAGAATTTATAAAATCTCAGCTTACATATAACAACTTAATCATCGTTCCTCGACCACTCAGAAATTCATTTGAAATAGAAAAGCTTGAAAAATCATCAGCCGTTGGTCTACAAGTTATAGAATCAGGTCACAAAATTGATTTTTATGCAGTACTGAAATAGTGCAGAAAAATTTCAGAAATAACAAAGCGCCTAATATCAGAAGCACTTCATTTTAAATGGAATCCAAACTGTTTGATAAATAGCAATGATGGACTAAAACAGAATGTAACCTGGTTACAACACCTCCCTCCTCCATGAAATGACAAAATCAACGCGAATGTAATCACCAATTTCATAATGTAAACGCTTGCTTTTTTTGTTATTTTACACAATTATCAAATCCAACAATCTACACCAGGTTTTGTTATCTTTATCAATCGGCCAACTTGACAACGTAAAATTTCACGGAAAATACCTATCCAGACATCAATATAAGAAGAACAGAGTTCAGCGAAGAGTCTCTTTTCGGCGAATTCATTCACTTAACTATACCGTCGCATTTATGCACAATTATTGTGCATTCGTGTGTGTGTACATTAGGATTGTTAAACAAAGGTAGAACAAAAATTATTCAGGACTACTGTTTACGTCATCAAAATGTTTGTTAAATGTGACGAATAATCAAAATTGTGCCCAGTTTTGGGGGAGGGGTGAAGATCAGTAAGTATTGACAAGGGTTGCGTAATATGGGATAGGATTTTAATGGAGACACGTGTCCTAAAAGTAAATTATATAATAGGTAGAAATAGTAAAAAAGGGTTACCAAGGTGCCATACAAAATTCAAAAAACAAAGCAGCATTAACGAAGTCGTAAGACTTGGAATTATACCCAAGGCAGAATGAGGGGGTGAAGTTTCTTCTGTGTGCATAAATCAGGCTTTTCTATCCGGATCGCTAAGGCCTCTGTAATAGAAAGTATACGGAAGCTTACCTACCGTTTTTGTGAGGTTCCTTTTGACTTTGTAGATGACTTTGAATGAATTCTGTGTGCATATTAAGTGACCAGTGTTGACTATATGTTCAATTATAGTACTCTTTATTGATCCACTTAGTGATCCACGAGCTATATATCTCGCTCGCTCCACATGAGCAAGTAAATTGGTAGATTCATATAGAAGTGGTCATATGTGATAGTTTATCTTTAAAGTTGTTGAAGAACAATAGGTGGCTTGAGAATAGCAATCATAATGTAGCAGCAGGGAATGTTCTTTTCAGGGCGTAAAAATTACCCCATGCTGAGGCACGATCATTAAGTTGTTATATATATAGGCTGAGGTTTTATAAATTCTATTTTAATACTACTTTGATAAAGCTATTAGCAACAGCATTAAATAGCGAAACGTCAGTGAAAATAACCATGTCGTTTTGCTTTTCATTCATTGGGAAACACAAAAAACCTTTATGATAATGAATGTGTATAAGTATCTTTCTTCACGGTATTTCAAACATTTTTATTAGTCTCAAAACTGGTGCTAAAATAATTACTATAAAACAGTAGAATTGTGTATAATATTCAATGTTAGAATAGATTATTTGATGTCTGTCTATCTGTCTGTTTTCGACATAGAACTTTGCACCGATGTGCGGCAATTCAAGTCGCCACACTCCATGTAGCACACAAAGCAAGAGAAGAAGGTAGAAGAAGTGAATAATAGAGACAGTAAGCAGAGGTATGAGACAAAGGAAGAGTAATAATGAAGAACAAAACAGTTTCATTGGAAATTATAAGTCACAAGGAGTGGATGCATCTGCGCCAGCCATTGAGAAAGATTTTGAGCCATATCACCGATTGTCTTTAGACACTGGTGTTTACCGTACCGAGGACCCCAACTAGACACCAGTCTCCACCTTCCTACGTGGCTGGCTTAAGCTAACTGTTGTAGATTTCATTGACTGGTGTCATGTTTTGGTTTGACCACCGCTAGCTCTTTTCCAGCCTGAGCCTATATCAGCTAACATTGCCTGTTGTCGAGGAAGGCGATGACTAGGCATACATAACACATGTCCTAACCATCTCAGTCGATGTAGCTTCACAGCCTCGTTAATTGGTTTCCCCTCCTTACCTAGCACTCGACCGATGCCTAACCTCATTATTGCTCACCTTATTATACCACTTCACAAGGGAGATGAAGCGCAGGCATCTATGATCAAAGACAGCTAATCTTTTCATTTCATCCACTCTCAATGGCCAGGTCTCACAGCCATAAAGGAGGATGGAGCGGGCTGATGAGCAGTACACTCGCCCTTTGGTCGTCACGTAGACGTGATATTCGGCTATATGATAAATATTTGATAAATGCAGTCTAATTATTGCATAATCCAATCGTTTTCACATTATCTTGAGTATTAATCAACACTAGTTTAAAACCTTATCTAGAACAAATAATCAAATAGTTATAAGGCATAAAACAACAATTAATAAATAATGTTTTACAGTATAAATATATATTTTTCATTTCATAAAATTTATTTCTCTTTATAGGTACATTTATTGTATTCCGTTTTATTGTCCTCTCATGGATGACACGATGGATTGTTATTAATCGTGATTCTATTCCATTTGGTTATTATTGTCTTGGTTCTATTGGTCTAGCTATCCTAATGGTTATGAATATTGTATTATTTATTCGAATTGTATACGCAGATTTTCTTACAAATAGTACAGTGTCTAGTGCAGCTTCAATGGTTGCTTCAGCTGGTACTGGAACCAGTACAACAAGTAGTAGTAAACCTCATCTCACAGTACATTCATCTTATATGTCTACACATTAGAAAGTATAAAAAATAAATAGCATTTGTTTTCATTTTCGGACACTTTTTGCTTTTTTAATGAAATATCTTTTCACTACTTTTTATTATTATGCTTTTGTATTCATTTATATTTGGAAACTATTTATCCGTTGTAAAAAAGAAAGTCATGTTTTTCTTCTCACTTTTACTGTATATATACATATAAAACATCATGAGCTAAATTTTCATGTTTCTGTCAAGATAATTATGAAATCTATTTCAGGTATTTGGTGCTTTTTTAAAATTTTATTTGGCGCTTTAAATTATATTGTTGTCAATGCATTTTATACTGTATTATTCTTGCTTCTTGGCTTCTTTTTCTCTCCATCCTTCAGAAACTTCTTAACAAATTTTGTAATGTTCTATCTGTGATATCAATTCGACATGATTACTATTATTGTATCAATAAAATCAGTTGGCTGTTTTGTAGTGTGTATTTTGGTTTTATGTATAGTTTATTCAATTCAATTTTTTAGATTTTTCCGTCGATTGATTGAACCGAAGTGTTCGGTGGCGACATTATCAATTATTGCAGAATGCAGGTACACCCAGATGACGAGTCCCAAATAGGGCGAAATGCGCTTTATCCTGGATTCCACTGCTAGTCACTATCAAACAATTAACTTCTAATTACACGCCCAAATATCGTCGAAGCATCTTCACAAGAGGCCAACAGACATGTCAACCTAACGACACCGAGCACTTCGGTCCAATCAATCGATGGGAAAATCTAAAATTGAATAAAATAATTAATATGACGCGTTGCACAAGAGGCAGTGGCCTCGTGGCCCAAGTGGTCTAGTGGATAACGCTTTGGTTGGCGTTTGAAATTATGGACACTGGGTTCGAGCCTCGGTGGAAACATCATCACTCACTAGGGAATGTAGGTACATCCAGTTGATGCGTCCCAAACAGGACGAAATGCGCAGCCTGGATCCCACTGTTAGTTACCATCGTCTAGTCATCTTGTTTATAGTTGTTATACAAACACTATAGGTATGTGCAAGTTAAAGCTTAGGTGTTTAGTGGAATTGTGGCGTATTAATGTCGTTGTTTTAATTGTTTTCTCGAAATTATAACTGGTGAAGAGAGTTATTATTGTGCAAAATAAAGTTCAATGTCCAACATCCCTAAATTCAAGTATTGGTTAGTAGGGATTTTGTTGATTGGTCAGAGGATTTCATCAGGAGCTGACATTAGCAGAGAACCATTGGAAAACCTGGGAGTGCTGGACAGCTGTTTCGTCCTAGTTTAGGACTCTTCATCAGTACGCAGAATTGGCAGAAGTTAGCACTCGTGGGTCATTGGATTGGATCCCAGTGGCTTAATGGTATACGAGCTCGCCTTGTAACCAGAAGGTCTTGGGTTCGATTTCCCTGAATTCTTTATATCCTAAATGCTAGTAATTTTGTAACAGCAAACGGCAATACACAGAAGCCAAGGTGTATTATCAAGTGATCAGACAGCTATTTATATCTATACTGTTTATATTCTTTAACCAATCACTGAGCGTGTGTTTTTGGTTTACATTAAACGACAAATACATATATAGAGTATTAGCAACATCTAATGCAGTATTGAACTGTGGGAATAGTATTGAGACGTTAACACCAACAAATACGATGATTCTTACTGTGAGAATATTATTCACTTGGATCCCATTGTCTGTATCACACCATCACAACTTTAATCCCGCAAAGTGTTTTATTATTTTCCACTTTCCAATAAAACCTCTACTAAAAATTAAAAGCCAATTACTTTTAAATTGCTATGTTGGTAGGATTAACGGTGTTCATCAAGGATGCCTAGTGTTATCACTTTCATTTAGATCTGCTGATAACGGTGATTTGACGTAGGATTTTGTAAATTTCTTACAGGAGAAAAAATATGAGTATCTGTAACATCTACTTTTCGCCTTTCCAATATAAGGTAATACTGCAAAAACTGGTCTTTGACACTTAATGTGAGGGTGACAAGTTCTATAAGTTGACTGTTTCACTTATTATTGAAAGTCTTATCAGCTGTAAATGACTTTATGCATTGATTCATCTTTATAAATTTGAATAAAGCAAGAACAACAATTTGTGCAGAATAAATTATTGCCATGATTTATTTCGTCGGTTTCTCATCAGCTACTTACAGCCCACAGGTATTATTAACTTTATGTAATAAAAACAATTTGAATATCTTTACACAGAAAGTTCAATATATGCATGCAATGACAATGTGAGTAATGACTTTATCCAAAACAATAATAATCCTACACAATGGAATTTTTCGGTCTTATGTAATCAAATGAAAGAGAAAGTGAAAACATCCAATTACCAGGGTAAGGAAAGACTGATAACCGAATCTTTCTCAACACACAAATCGGGTCTCATGCAATTGATGGAAATTGGTTTCGCAAACCTGAGGAGAATTGAACTCATTTGCCTACTGATAATTTTGAACGATACTGCGACGTCCACCTTATGAACCGCATCAAGCAGGTGCCTGGCAATGGCATTACTGTAAGCATTTGTTCCCTTGAGAAGTAGGTTTTCCAGTACATATTCAGAAAATCGGAGGTATGCGCGCCTTCTTTCTGTTCTTCCATTGTAACTATTCCCACAAATACATGTAAATTTTTATACACAGAATTAACATAAGGAGGGTATCAGTCGACTTTTGATTGCATCAAAGAGCATGTTGTTAGATAAACGGGAACCGCAATACATGCAGGATAGGCTATGGCTAGTGAGGTGTTGAGTCTTCTATTGATTATTCCCGCAATATATTCACCTTTCAAATCTACATAAATGAAGGCAGGCTTTATTACCAAACTAAAGAAAAATGAGATCACTGAATTCCCCGCAACTCTAATGGTGAATCACTAACTTACATTCTGCAAAACCCTACTGTTTGCTTCTAGGTTTAGTATGTGTATATGTACGTTATGTATAGGTGAACAGTCCTTGACAAGAAGGTGACACATCGCTAAAACTCCTTTATTTTCAATATATTTCTAATGGATATCAGATCCCGGACAGATGGAAGACTAGTTTAGAAATAAATGATTAACTATAAGTCTGTGATTCAGAACGTCGGTGGCATAGCGGTTAGGACGCTCACTGACCATGCACATGGTCCGGGGTTCGATCCCCGGCCGACGCACTCCTTTACCTAAGCCAGAAATAACGCTGGTGAAGAGGAAAGGTTGGGCATGAGGCTAGCAACCGCGTCCTGTAAAATTAAACACTGCTATAGAAACTTCAAGCCACTAGCTTGAAGCCCTATGTTCCGCAGGGCACGTGAAGGGAAAGAAAAAAGTCTGTGATTGAGTGCTGCATACACCAGAACTTTCATCAATTTACTGTTATTTCTTCTTGTGTTTATTCACATCATGCTGTACACTATCACCTTTCACATCAGAAATCCTTCTTGTGGTATATTCTATTCACTAACGATGTTAACATGCGATATTCACAGACGATGAGGTAGCAGAACACAATAAGTTGTGATGTTAGTTGCACTTATAAACTATCAAAAATTAGATGCAGAAGAAGATAATGGACAACGTCTTTCATCGGACATTAGTCAGTAAATAGTACGATGTGTGCGTGTCTAGTCCTTTGTTTGGTGCAGACTGGATTCTATCAGTCAGGTTTGCATTGTGGACACCATTCATTCTAGGTAGCTCGCCATAGTGGTGCACAATGAAATGTTCATATTAGATGGTTGGAGTCCCATTGCCTCCAATCAAAGTATCCTAGACAGTCCTACAGGAGGTAATCGCAAGGTCGAACAGCTCAGTGGGAAAGACCCGACTGCAGCACTCACTGTGTGATGCAGGTTCGAATCCCCTCGGAAGGAAAATGAGTTGCTTCTACGATTCAGATACGCCTTGCTGACTGATGAGCGCCAACTAGCACGATATCTAGGTCCAAGTACGGCTTCCTACTGATTGCCTTAAAACATCTAATGAAAACGTCTTTGTTATCAAAGTACAAACTTCAGAGTCCATTTCTAATCACTGAAGAGGTATAGATCATAGTACTTACATTACTCGCCTCACAGGTTTCCAGTAGGAGATGGTACACTTCAGCAGTATGCCTCCATTCTACTCTATTCCTTACCATCCTTTCCAGCTGGCTACCGGACTAGCATTAAGCTATTATGTCGACGTTATATAATCTCCATATCACATCCTGAAGCATCACACATCTCTGATCAGTCTAGAAAAAACATGTCAACCTGTTGCATACACAATCATCAATCCAGGATATTATTTCTGAAATGCATTTAAATACGTAATAGATAGAAAAATTCATAGTAGAGGATGACGTTGGAAACTGCTCGACATTCTCCACCGTTTGATATTTAATCGTGAATATTTCATCAACCGACTTCGTGATATCTTCGACATTAGCTCCACTTTTTAATACGTATTTTCTCTATAAAACAATTATTCAAAATGTTTGCACACTCGAATCATTATGCATTCACCAATAAGGTAAGTAAAACAATAGTTCGATATTCAGTCATCATATTCACTGAATATCGATCGTCTGTTTAATTCAATCAATTGAAACGTATATGACCTTCCTATTTGAAATAAAGAAACAAATACAAACTTCAATCAATAATACTTGACCGTACTTTTTAAAATAAAATTGTTTTAAGACCATTATTTACAATTGTAATATCAAGGACGAATAAAGAATTACTATGCCACTGCCAATATAATATATCTAAAGCCACACAAAATGGGAAGAGTTCAATTACATTGCATTAGGATAAAAGCATAAAACCGCATGCATCTCTGTCGCCATGACAACCGTTTCCCCCTCATCTACAAAATATGACTTTGATCTTCTTTAAAGGAATTATGTATTATATTGGGTATTATGGGTATTTATTGTTTCCGATACATGTTGGCTTTCTGAAAGACTCATCCAATTGTCAAAGACTCAAATCATACTCCTGTGTAGTTGTGAAATGGACTCAGGTGTGCAGAGACAATCCAAAACCCTTTCATATCTTACTATACAAGTTATCATTGTGCAGTCTCTGGAAGGCGATAATTTCATACAATATTGTTCTAATGGTCTTCAAAGTGGATTGGGCGTTTGTCAATATGTTAAATTCCGGGCATCTATCTGTCTGACTTAGTTCAAATATAGATGTGGCTAGTATTCATCTGCATCGGTTCCACAGCGGTTAGGACTCTCGCCGACCATGTACATGGTTCAGGTTTCGATCCCCTGCTGACTCACACCTGATATCAATGACTACCGATAACACATGCTGAAAATTTCATACTTGTACCGAAAATACGGTGTGGAATCAAGCTATAATCAAATGAAAAATTCAGTAGGCATTCATTTCGTCTACCGGCTTGCTTTTTCCCCAAGAAACATATGGAGTTGTCAGTGTAACTAATTAAGTGGAATGGAAAGTTAAAATAATAGTCAAGGGGTAATCCACTACCCTTTAACTTTATCTATGGAAACCTTGAATTTCCCTG